GAACGAATGTGCTTACCGTTGCCACAGAAGAAGCAAGATAAGGATGTGCTTGCAATCGTGTCACTAGATTCCATCTGAGAGATAAAAGCATCACGAACAGGAGTAAGAGGCTTATCAGTTTTGATAGATGCGGCGCCACAGGGAACATGAGAAGACGAGTCGTATGAGAGTGACTGTTGTTGAGCATGTTCAAGCAGACGTGCCTCGTCAAAAGCTTGTTGAAGCTTAAGAGTGTGTTTTTCTAGTAGTCGTTGGCGAACGGAATTAGACTGCAAGCCTGTGATAAAAGCGTCTCGAATAGCCTCATCCCGATGTTCATCGGCAGAAACCGCACGAAAATTGCAGTCCTTGACAAGGTAACGTAATTTTTGCAGGAACGCGTCGACTAATTGGCCCGGTTCTTGTTTGGTAGTAGCCAGCACGTGGCGGGAAAACACTTCATTTTTGGGTTTAATGTACATCTTTTCGAGCGTCTGGATGGCGTCTTCGTAAGTAGTACAATCACAAACATGTTGATAGACGGACGGAGAAAGGAAATTTACCAAAAGTTTTCTTTTGTCAACGTTTGGGAGTTCGATGCATGAGAGGAAGTTCGTAAACGTTTCGTGCCAATGGATCCATTGTTCTGAAGCAGAAGAGGATTGGGGATCGGCGTCAAACCGATCTGGGCGAAACAATCGTTCCATTGTATTTTGATAGAAGATTAAGTTGTTGCGCACTCGAATGATTGTGCCAGAAACAGAGGACGAGGATTGCCGAATGATTGGCTTTAATCTTCTATCAATTTCAGTACATGAGCTAAAAAATTAGGAAACAATTAGCTCAACGAATAGCGAGTAAAAAGGTAAACACAACGTCAGTATATAACACGGGGATCATACCAAGTGTCTCATCCTCGTGGCTAGTCTTCAATCGCCATACGATGCAGATATTCGGACCCAGTTACTGAATCGAATTGAACAGGATCCAGAGTTGACGCTTCGGAAACTTACCACCGAATGCCAGCATGTTATCAATCTCAAGCCTGATGCAGTAATGTTTGGACATTCCAAATTCTCAGCCGGATATGGTATGCAAAGTAACTTCCAAAAGGAAACCAAATTCTAAACGAACTTCAAGAGGACCGCCCATACCATGTTGCTTTTGTGGAAAATGGCCCTATTTACGCCACCGTCCCTACCGGAACCACAGATGCATTAAGTGCAGTCGGAAGGGTCACAAAGAAGAATGCTGCAGAGACAACATCAGGAGCTCGCGCAAACACCGACCCGACCAATGGGCGCAGGCAGTGGCCATGACCGCTACATTCAGGATGAAATCACCCGATCGTCACAGTATGTATCAATCGCACACCGCTTACCCTCCAACTTGATACAGGTTCTGACCTTACTCTGATTTCAAATCGAACCTGGAACGTAATTGGAAGGCCACCAGTGTAACCTACAAAGTGCACCGTTCGTAATACATCTGGTGTAAGCCTCAAACTGACCGGAAAGCTTAACTGTTCCGTAACGTTCAAGGGGATTCAACTCAGTGATTCGTGCTAACTCACGAGCTATACAGGCCTTGATCTCCTGGGTCCTGATTGGATTAATGAGCTTCAACTTTTGGATCTGGACCAAGGCAGCAATATGATCCACATGTTCAATGTCTGAGGGAACGTTCCTAGAGCGTTTCGACCCTCGAGGCTTCGGAATCAGGCAAATAGATTTCAAATAGGACATCAGTAGCAAAGTCGATAACCAAATGCGTGAGTGTGTAACACTTACACCACTGGGTATGGTTAACACAGATGAAAACTTCCCATATAATTGCATTCGGTCACAGGAGTCGTCATACAATATCCTCATGTGGGATATAGATTTCAAAGGGGCACCCTTGTTCACTAGATACCACCAAAGTTTCTGACGATTTATAAAGTCGAAAGCAAATTTCAGATCAAGGAAAACACTCAACGTGGGACGTTTGAATGAGTGACACTGCTCAAAAACTTGTCTATAGGCTTGTCTATAGGTACGGTTGGTGCGTCCTCGTCCGGGACGAAATCCTCCGTATTCTCACTAATCTGTCTCGCGATAATCTATCAGCCGCAAAATAATTTTAGGGAGCACCTTAGCCGCAACGAAGGTTGATACCACGATGGTTTTGGCATGACGTTCTTGTGCCCTTTTTGAAGACTGGGATCACTATCGTGCTCCGTTTCACTAGTATTCTCTTTTCGTCACAAATGTTCCGCAGTATGGTTGTCAGACTGTACACCAGGATTTTTGTCTGTGGTGGGCTGGTGTTGATGTTCCATTCCGGTCCGATGGGTTCTTCCAGTCGCTGTGTTGAAAAAAGCCAGCTGAACTGTTCTCTGAGGTGTTCAACCCGTCGCTCAAGACAACGAATCTGTGAGTGAATTGCCGTCCCGTCTTTCTCGCATGTCGTTGCGCCAGCACTTATTCTCTTTTGGCCAAATAAACTGATGAAATGGGGTGCGACTGTTGCTTGCAGCGAAAGCCTTCTCCATCTCTCGGACTCTCAGAATCCAGTAGCTTTATGTGTCATTCTTTAAGCTGCTGATTTTCTAGTTTTTGGGGGATCTCCGTGTGGCATCAGAGTTGTGAGTTTCTGGCATGGATTTTCTGGCAGAAAAGATACCTGCTGACCTCGACGATATCCACTTTTCTCTTAATCGTTCTGGATGGCTTAGGCAGACGATTCTGAAAACTGAGAGGATAGCTTCTTTAACCCGATTCCGTCCAATCTCCAAGCGGTCTTCGTCATCTGCATAATTGTGCTTTTCAAGCGGCTTTCCAGCCAGACCAGCTCGATATTTCTGAGTTTCTGAAACTTGAAGTTAATAGATGGAGTTGCTCGGTTCTAGCATGCGTAATTCTGGCAGAAAGCGAAGGGTACTCGTGTCTGCACAATGGCATGATCAGAGCTACGTCCGTAGAAAATCATCACCCTAATGATCGTGGTACGCTCGTCCTTCTTGCGATCTTTAGAGTCTTGCGTGGAGGCTTCACACTATCTGACCTTGTCTCAGCGATCGGAGATGCCACGACACCCTGCAGGACACTTCTCTTGCATGACGTTTCTCTAACTACTCACATTACTTCTTTCATATGAGTAGTTCGGATACATCTTTGTGTCAGGAATTTAACCCTCTGAATTTCGGTTGTCGAACGTCCACGTTTACGCAAGTTTTAGTGATGTCCGGGGTCTTCGGTAAGATGTAATTGCCAGCTGAGTTGCCTGTTGGGCTCCGGAGTTTTGTTTGGAGCTTTGAATCACCGGTTGATGCGAGATCATTGTGTCATGTGATGTTATTGGGGTTCTTCACCTGGCTATCGAAACTAGGCAACAGCATCTAAGCTCTGCGAACAACCTGGTCACGGTATGAACAGCCCGGACCACAAGGGCTCTTTTATAATATTTGGTTCCGATGACATTTTTTGTGTTTACTGCTAGACGTGTTTTGAACCTTCAATGTTAAACACGAATGGTTATCGAAACCGGATTGAACGTTTTTGAACCTTGAGCTCGAAATAGCTCAATCGTCAAGGTGCAAACTTACGGACTGTAAGGTCCGCGGTTCAATTTTCGGGTATCGTCTAGGCTTGGGTAACCTGATAGTATCTCACTTCCGTGTTCCCCATAATATTTGGTTCCGATGACATTTTTTGTGTTTACTGCTAGACGTGTTTTGAACCTTCAATGTTAAACACGAATGGTTATCGAAACCGGATTGAACGTTTTTGAACCTTGAGCTCGAAATAGCTCAATCGTCAAGGTGCAAACTTACGGACTGTAAGGTCCGCGGTTCAATTTTCGGGTATCGTCTAGGCTTGGGTAACCTGATAGTATCTCACTTCTCGTGTTCCCCTCTGGTGGCACCACCGAAAAAGTGTTACAGCTGAGTGATTCTCATTATTTTCCTTAACACGGTTAGACTTATGTTTGTGACTCCGCATTGCACTGCTTTTGATCTTGACTTTATAATTTTTTCATGATTTCGAAACTTTTTTAGTTGCACCAGGACATATTCTGTTTAAATATTCCGACTCGGTATAGTTATTCACATTATCGGATGTGACATGTGCGTATCGATACTAGCATAGTGGTACTGCCTGAGGCCTACATGCAATGAAAATGATTGATGGGGACGGAAGTTTGCCTCATATTTTACTCCTCTCGGACTCTATCTTCCTTTTTGTTTGTCCGCAAAAAAGTGGCATACTTCGGTGTTTCGGTAACAACTGCTGAAAATCCAGGTCCGATCAGACTTATGTACTCTCCATGTTCCTCTCTTCGTGATGAATGGTTTCTCTCACCAGAAAAGTTTCCTAGCTATAGGTTTATTTATGGACCATGCAATCATGTTGCAATTATGATGTGATCACCCTTTCGAAACCTAAGCGCATGTTTTAATTGGGGTCACTGTTTTCAAGTTGAGTGTTTCCACAGGTGTTTGTGTTGGATCAGTACTGTTCTTCTGACACGAAAAGTCGCTTTGGTGGGTGTTAGTCTCATGAAATCCTCTTCTGGGAACTCTCCAGAAACTCAATTACCTGTTATCCCAGACACCACTATATCTATTCATTAGTAAAGGTGTGATGTGTGGGAGTACCTCATTGAAGCAGCTAGAAGAACCCCCGAGACCAACAGTAGTGTCTGGTTGATTTGGTCTAGCACTTTTTGATGCAATGGGGGCGAGATGGTCCAAGTGGTTAGAGCGCGAATTTACTAACCGGAAGGTCCGTGGTTGGAACTCGACCTTTGCCTCTCGACTTCCCCTGTCTAGGCTTGGCCAACTTGGCAGTATCCCAGTCCTCGTGCTTCCTTCGGGCGGCATGGCAGCTAGGCCCCGGAAGGGTACCACAGCTGAACGTTTTTTTTTGATGCAAGAAATTTTACGATCGGATTCTTGAATGTATCTGATGTTTCTGAGGTGTCGTTGTGTGTGTTTTACCGTTGATGCTTACTTACTAGTAATCTTTCATGTTTTCCAGGTGACATCAAATAGCACAACGTTTGCTGCCGATCGTGGTTACGTTTGTATTGATCCGGTCGTCAGATGAATGATATAGTTGAGGAGCTGGGTTTCTCCAATGAGTACGAACGTTCTGTGTTTGTACTATCACCGCAACAGTCTTCTTCTGCGTTCGGTATACCCGGTATGCAGGAGATTTTCAGCAAAGTTCCGTTACACTCACACACGTCTCCCATCCTGACTGGCACCCTGAACCGGTGTGGAGATGGGATCGAGGCCACCTGTTCTCATAGCGCCTACAGCACCGACACAACACCTAGTTCACACTACTCCGATTCATTCCACCATGGTAACGGGCACGTTAACCTGGACAACTCGTTTGAGACCTCGTCTTCTTCCGCGATGGATTTGGCCGACTTCCCATCTACTCTCATTTCAGGCCCATTCAGCGACTTCAACTCGTTTTCTTGTGATCCGACCACCTCTTGTGAGTCCAGTCCATCTGATATTCAGTTACACGACGAGAACCGGGTTGTCAGTACTGTTGACTGCACTGACCCAGATACGTCGCTTCCACTGCAAGAAGATGAGGAGACAGATATTGTTCCGAATGAACTTGTACAATTCGTTAGTGAGTCTACATTAAGGATTGCGGGTGAGATGGCGGACGCAGTTTCCGTTACCGATTCGGATATGGATGACCTTGATCACGAAGCTCGACTGACTTCACTTTGTTTGCCGATACTACAGCCCCCCTCGTTGGTGTCTTCACAAATGTCAGATAACATGCGGCCGCCATCTTTATCACCTGAGCCTACTGTAAACAGCACGGATGATTTTGTAGACTCTGACTTCGCGAAAAGCTATTTCTCTCCCCCATCCAAAGTTGTTGACGAAATGTACGCGTCATCGACCAAGCCACACGACTCGACGCCTCTCTACTCTGTTGTGCAATCTCCGCCTCCCATGTCCTCAGCGTCGCATGTAGATTGTTCGACCACGTTATTGTTACCCGATTCTGCTCCTGTTGACAGCTTTTCAGCTTCGCCAAGTTCGTTTGAAAAACAGACTCGCCGGTTATCCGACTCACTTCACTCCACTAAGACAGTATTGCACCACGAGTCTGATCTTCGTTTGATGAAGAATGCACTTATATCTACTGGGTGTATTTCTCCACATCTCCAAACCCCTGTGGTCAGCCGAAAAATAGACGTTCTTACGCCAACTAACCAGATTCTTCGTTTCTCGGATGGTACCGCCCAAGCGACGGACGGGTTTTCATCCTGTTCAGAGAACCCATCGTCTGTGGGGCAGTTTGACTCAATGATTGAACAGTATCGTCTTCCCACCATACCCCTGTCTCATCAAAGTCTTCCCGTTCCACAAAACCAGTCAGCATCTTCAATCTTGTCCGTTCGGAGTCTTACTGTCCCATTTGAAAATCCTGCCCAGGTTGGTGCTTTGTGTCTTTCAAGCAGCTCGCGTTTACAGATTTAAACGTACTGCTTTTCTCACATATCTGGCTCTGCACTCCTGGTCCAAGTTGCCGAGGAATGGACGTCTATAGCATTTCTGTTACGAATAAGCATGACATCGCTAGCTCATCGACCTGTTAAAAATGCTATTGGTGTCACCTTACGATGAAGCTGGGTTAAGCTAAATTCTGACAATGCACCCAACTTTGTATCCTTGTAACAAACCGCGGTCTTAAGTATTCCGTTAACGTCAAGGTAGCGTAGCTATAGTGGCTGAGTTGTAATGCCCTGGTCATAACTTAACCATAAAGATTTTACCGTGGTTAATAGCTTACGATGGCTCTCGGACTAGCATGGAAAATCCCAATTATTCCTTGGCTTGCAAGCAGACACTGCCTTATTTGAAATCAGTTGCTGGAATTAAACTCATCATTGCTTTTGCCTTGTGATGTTTTGCTGGGAATCGTCTTTTTTGCACTGTCCGAAAAGTACGTACTATGATAATTTCAACTCTTGATCACTGTAGACCTAGCTGCCAGTTGTACTCACCCAGCTTTATCCCAACTCGCGTTCAGTTAGAGTAAAAATAAAGTATGCACAACGAAGTTCCGAGTAGAATCTTTTCATGTCCATTAATCGCAGTACACCCATTATAGTTATCGGCCACTGTTTTGCCGACATTATTTTGCTTGACCATCGTGTGAATAATGACTAACCTAAAACGGTTATGAGCAACAGCTGTGATTCCATTACGTGCAACCCCTTCCAGTGGATTAAATAACGAACGGTTTGTGTCGGCGCTTGTTGTGGAGAGACGCAGTGTGACTCACCAGGGTGCAAGTATGCAGTACATGCTTTTCACTGTAAATAACTATCGAGCCTTGAAATTGAACACTTTGGCGACCACGTGGAATTGATTTTCGCTGCTAGGACTCCCCCGTAGGTATACACTGAAACATTCTCGGGCGGATTTGTGCCTTCTTTCTAGCAAGAAGAAATATCCTCGCAGCAGTGTTGTCATCCAGATGATTCTGTCGGCTTCCGCGGCAAATTTTACCAGCACTGTTGAAGCCTTGTCCGGGAACGTTAGCTGGATATCCTGGAATTACGCTTTTTTGGTCGGCACTTAATCTGAAGCATAGTAGCATTTATCACGACATTTTATCTTGCGGTAGTGCTTTAGAGCTTCGTTGAATCATCGAACGGTTGTCGGACAGCATTACGCGGTTCCTCTCCTCAAGTGTCTATTTCATCTTTATGGTAGCACTGTCCGTGACTTCTGTTACCTCCGTCATCGTGGATGCAAGTTCCCAACTGCCTTATCCAACGATTATATCTGTTACACGCGGTGCTAAGAGAGTGGATATAGCTTTTGAGTCCTCTTGGCTAAGAAAGCTTCTATCGAAAAGCCACTAGTAACAGTAGTATTGTGGTCCAGGTTGTCAAGTCAGTCTACAGGGAAAGCACAGGTACCCGCCTAAATTCTTGTTGAAATATTGTCTTTCACGAAGTGTGTGCTTTGAAGTTCCACTTGCGCATTCATACTATGGGAAAATGTCGGTACCTTTGCTTTTAATGGCGCGGTATCGTATGTCCAGATACTTCATTTTACTTGATGATGATTGAATAAGCCGTGTAGTATGCCTCGTTACAACTGTTACCAATGCCCAGTATCAAAACAGTATGGATCTGGTTCTGAGAGGTTGTAGATTTATGGCAGTCTTGATGTAAATATCAACGTTTATGTAAAAGTTTGGAACATGGTTTTATTGTTTAGTAACTCACTATGGTCACACGAATAGGTAGATCTTTAGAAGGACTGTTTTCTCAAGGTTGCCACTTTTCCGTTCCACAGGATTATTTAGAACTCAATTATACTTTTCATGAAATCGATGTTTTTACCATGGCTTCTACTGGTCAAGTGGGCGGTAGCGCTCATTTGTGAGACAGGGCAGGGTCATGCATGCACCAGTGTGTGCGTGTTCCATAGGTTACGCTGATTGGGACATTTACTCCACATGTAAGAGGATCGTAGGACTTTTCACTCTCCCCAGCGCTGTACTGTGTGGAAGTGACCTAGGCAGGCAGTTTATGATTTGGCAACGAAATACGAAACAGTAACCAGAAAACTCAGCCAGGTTGACGACTGTCGCTGCCTTTTAACAAGGACTGAGCCCATTACTCATCAATGACAGACATCAATGGCAGACATGGCCCGATCACGCGCACAGTGGCAATCGTCCATCAGAGCTATTTCCTTTACTGCTACCCACTTTCCCGTTTCCTCAGAGCAGAACGCAGTGCGAGCCAACTTTCTTCAGTGTTTGACTGTATCTATCATATTTTCCATGTTGAGTGACGCGTAGGTTCGATGGTCCCGAATAGCAAGAGGGTGAGTTGGGTTCGAAATTCTCCGGTACTATTTACACAAAGATACACAATGCTAATTCACATAACAAACCGCAATTATCACGTTCGTAGCGTCAACAATTGCACAAGTTTTTTTATTGACTGGCATAGTGCAATGTCACCGTCCGCACACGAAAGAGCGGTGACCGGAACGTTGACCCAGCAGCGCGGGTTCCGGTCGTCCTCTCTGACGGTAGTCTCGTGATTCTCATTGGCGATGTGAGCACACGGAATTCACGAGAAAACAGGTCAAGACAGGTTCAGCAAACGGAACACGAACGCGCATGGGTAAGTAGGTCAGCTGCGCAGATCAGGATAAACAGGTTCAGCAAACGGAACACGAACGCGCATGGGTAAGTAGGTCAGCTGCGCAGAGACATCAGGATAATATATCGGCGGAGTAAGCGAATGAATGGGGAAATAATCCGTTGACTGAAACTGTACCAGCTGGAACTAACTTGCCCTTGGTACATAAGCTGATGAACTGCGCTGCACTGACTGCGCGCCGTAGTGACCATGTGTTTGAGTAGATAAATCTAAGTATATCAGATACTTTATACCGTCTTGATTGAGGGTATCCCTATTGTACCCTATTTCAAAGTCAATAATTGGTTAACCACACGCAAGTATTCTTTCAGCCACTAGTTGAGAAAAAAGGTGGGTTGAGGGAAACCTCTGCAATGTGTCGTATAACTACATATAACTACATGTGGGGTCGGTCATTCACGTCTTTCTTTCCCTACTTTACATCTTCAGATTTCACTCGCTGGTCACGACTCTAGATTGGCCCGTCGAGTATGTCTCCTAAACAGCACACAGCGACCTGACACTGAATCCGTGCATTCTTTGCATAACAACAGAGCAGTACATACTTCTGCTGAGCCCGTGAACGGCACACAGCGTGAGGCATCTCCCATCCCAACGGGAGCAGCAGTTTCGGGAACTGCGCTTCCTCCACTTCAGTCAGTGATTGTGTGTACTAAAGACACCTTCAACTTATCTGACCCCTCGCCGGTGCAACTGAATACCCCTGCCAGTACTCACCAGCAGTGTCTTGTGCCGGCGGATGTCTGTTCAGTTTCTAGTGTGACCAAGGCTCCAGCGCCCTCTAACGTGCCCGGAACTTGCCTCCAGAATATCAAGTCCCTTTCAAATGGTGGGGGCCAAATTTTCTCACTTCCACATTCAGCTGTAATGCCCTCAGACCTGTCCAATAGTTCGATGTCTTCATCCGGAACTCGGCCGATTTCAGTAATAATACCTCTTCCAAACAGAACTACCAACCAGGGGCTACCTCAACAACCGTCGGCTCCAGCGGCAAACTGTACCGCAGGTCACCTTACTCTACAACTTTTGAATTCTCTACCTGCTCTCCGTCCAGGCATGTCTATTTTACTGAATTTAAAGAACCAGACGGCTAGTGCTCTATTTGGTAACACGAGTAGTATTGCTAACGTAAGCTCACACACGAACATCGCTTCCTCAACCGGATCCCAAAACCCAATAGTTTTGCTTCCGGAATTAGGAAGCTCGGATGCGCCTAAGTCTACCGTCCCTAATTCGCTAAACCCTCCGCCGCCCTTTCAGCACCGACTGGAGGTTGCATCTTCTACTGCACCTACTTCCTTGGTTGTCGTTCCAAGTATTCCCTCATATCTTGCCCCTTCAGCTGTGAACAATGGTGTTTATCCTGTCTCAACAAACAATGGACTTTCTGCATCTCCTCAACCTTTTTCCCTTCCTATGTCTACTCACTTATTTCTTCTACGATCCCCGAAAGTGATTGTTAAACCAGAATCTCCGACTGTGGGTATTGGCTCCACTCCACAATCTGGAGTGACGTTAGTTCTGTCACCGAATGCAGTACAGAAGCCCCTTTCAGACCCTACCAATCTTTTTTTTATCCCTTCTATGATACCCAGTTCTATTGGTATGCCTGAAACACCACTATGGTTTCCTCCTTCCAATTCTGTGAACATCCAATCATCCCAATGTAACGCGAATTCAGTCGCTACTAACCCATCTCTTTTAACCGCTTTTGGGCGCCAAGGCATTGAACCATTGATTAGTTCGAACAGCTTGACGTCTATGGCTTATGTCCAGCAAGAAGTTGGTCAGTCGTGCACGCAGCAGGTTGCACACTCCTTACCTCCGCTACTAACTCACCCTGTTTCCCTAAATCAGAACAATCTTCCTTTGTCAGCTCTTCCAGAAGTTACACTACCATCTATTGTGATGCAATTACCGTGGTCCCCTGTTGTCAACAATCCATCCAATCACCTTCAAGCAAATACACAAACCTTTTTGACTCAGTTAACCACACTCGCCTCTTCACTTTCATCTTCATCTTGTCTGTCGTTTTACTCTACTATGCCTCCTCGGCCGACGAAAACAAATTTCATGGCTCCAGAAGTCACTCAGTCTGTGTCTGCTTTTTCGCCGTGTAATTCTGCCCTAGTATCCCTCTTAAGCCCTTCTGTTTCATCAAGTGATGTGACTACTGAGGCCACTTTGCCGGTGGTTGCACGTACTGACACGGAGAACGTAAAAGTTGGTGATACGCAAACTTCAAAACAACCCATTGTTCTACCATCTGCGGATAATTTACTTTCCTCTAGACCTTGTGCTGTGCCCTTAGCATCTTTGAAGAATCCTGTTGCCACTTCGGTACAACCCGTTGGCTCCCAGGATAGTAGGCTAGCACAACTAGTAACGTCAGCTACTTCCAGCAGCTCGTCAACACTGGTATCGCAGGCTCCGGCGATCAATCTAGCTGATGCAACTGTCACGACGAAAAGCACTTCTTCTTCGAATTCGAACTCCAGTCGCAGACGGCATCAGTGTCCTTATTGTCCTAAATCTTGCGAAAGGAAAGACAATCTACAGGCTCACATTCGTACTCACACCGGAGAAAGACCGTACCCTTGCAGATATTGTCCCAAAGCCTTCCCACAAAAGGATCATTTACGCGCTCATATTCGCACACATACTGGTGAAAAGCCATATCGTTGTCCTCAGTGTATGAAGGCGTTCGCTCAGTTAGGGAACTTACATCGGCATGTGAAGACTCACAGACGATGACTTGATATTACCTGGGTGAGTTTTTTATTATACAGTTTTCAGGTTTTGGGCTGGCACTCCTGACTCGCTAGTCGCTTTCAGCCTTGATTTTTATGCAAGTATTCCTGTGGAAGCTGCTTTTCTGAAACATTTGCTTGTATTGATACTTGACCTTTTGAGAGTGTAGTCATACATGTATCTGTAACTGACTTCTGAGAAGGTTATGGTAGAGCGACGCCACATATGCAGTCTTAGCGATTGTGGACCACTAAGATTACTACAAATAGCAAGTTAAATGGTTGGCGTACCTCATTCACATCAAGAAACTAATGGTTTGCTTGGAATGATTGCATAAGGGTAAAACGGCCATCAGACTAGAACTTGTTGGTCACCGTTCAACAGTCCTGTGGAGCCGACCACCTAAGATAGATTCACTTTCCGAATCGACTGTCCTCATCTTCATTTCTAAAAACCACTTGCGTATTGTACAGTGGTTATGGCCGCCCCTGTTTTGTTAACCGGTGATCTGGAGATTGAGAGGTATGTAGCTACGCAATGAGGGCTTTAGTTGATATAATTGATGCGTGAATTCCTTAGTGTAAGCGAATTTTTCATAGGGAAAATCGGCAGAGAAACGTATGCATTAGAGGCAGCAGCCTGGATGCACGCGAGCTATTGAACTCGTGCATATGTTTGTCAATGGGTCCGATGTGTCCCATCTTGGAGTTCGGTCCAAGGAGACAGGAATGACGGCTCAGCTGAGTTTGCAGGTAATGGCTTTGATACTTCTCTGCCAAGTCATTGCTTGAGCCCCTTGTCTTCTTTCCACCCTCTGTCTGGTTATGCGAAAGGGGCTCCAAGGAAGCTTATCGACTGGGCAAAATGAATCTCTGCATCGTACTAGTTGACCTACCTACGGAATTTTCACCCAGCAGTTTGCCGACTAGGATATCTGGGTCGTTGAATTACTGTGTACAAGTATAGGTCTATTTTGCCTAGTTAAGACATGCAGAGTTGATATACCACCATTCGTATGGCACCGAGGGTGATGATTTTCGCTGTTCATTCCCCCCAAGCTATTTAACAGTAGTTATTTGTAGTTGACTTTATTGCGCTCATCTTGTCTTCATTTCTTGTGGAATCACCATTCTAATGGCACCTAAGGTGTTAAAAACGAAATGCCCATGACAGTTCTAACTGTCGGTTCCAATCACAAGGAACATTCGTTGGCTGAATTTAAAGTACTTGCCAGAGTCGCTTCTGAATGTGTATCAACGTGTTTGCACCAAACCTCGTAAGTTCAAATCAGATTTCGGTGCCTACTTTTTTCTGTGTCTAGATGTGTTTAAAAAGTGCTGTCGCCAACACTACCGGCCCATGAATGCCTGTGGATATCGATTTTTTATTTTCGATCACATATGCAAATGGGTCCGGTCAAATGCAAATTATTACCAGGAGCTGCAGCAAGGGACGTGTAGCGAACTCCGCTACCTGTATCTTACCGTCTTTGTCAAGTGGCCTGAAAAGACTCAGTGCTGCAGATGATTGTTTGCGCAGCCGTCCAATACGAACTCGATGCTTTATAGTTGGTGCTGGTTCCTCAAGCCTCGCGCATTATAGAAAAAATGAACTCTAATAGTGGAGGCATATTTAATGTAGGGACACTCCCATTGATATTAGAATCTTAACATTCAAATACATCAAGCCACAGTCGGGGGTTCCTTTTGGTCGCTGCTCACTAAAGAACACGTTATCTTCCACTGGTATCTAGCAGTGTGCTCGTATCCTCTTATAGTTTTTGACTAACTGCCCTAACCGGTCCATGGACGGATGCAGACGCCAACCAACCAATTTTAAAAAAAAATGTTTGGACATTCATGATGCAGACGCCAACCAACCAATTTTAAAAAAAAATGCTCTGGACATTCATGGTTAACGTTGATCTTAGCAAGCTTTTGTTGTCCCCTGATGTGTCCTGTACTTGATTGCAACACCTACTGGCAAATGACGAATACATTAATGGAATCCACGCCAATCTTCATGTAACTCTGCCGCAGGCAACTTCTAACAATGGAAGAATCACTGGATTAAGCCCAATCGCGGAAACAGTTGGGAAAATGAAATGTGTTTTGTTTCACTACGTCTTGTGGTTCACCCGCGGTGTTCTATGGAGGCTGCATGGCCTTAAAACTTGATTGCCCACGTGAAACACGTAACACATCTTTGACAAGGTGCAGCTGGTGAATGAAGGAAGCTAGTTGCATTGTATGACCTACAGGTTATTAAGTTAGTAGATGCCTGACTAACAGTCTGTCATTCAGGCTGGGGGTTAGGGCTGTGTGACGACTTGTTACTTGAAAACTTAGACTGCTGCTAGGCTTGGAGCCAAAGACTTCTGTTGTGGACCTCAATCATCCATCTTACTGGACTTGGGTACCATAGCAATATTGTAGCCCTCTTAGAATAATGGATCGCACCTTTACAACTAACTTCACCCTACATAGGCTTTCACGTGGTGTCCTCAGCAAATCAGTTTACTTGCTGAGCAAAGCCGGGTTGGTTATCGAAAATACACCTTTTCCCCTCTGTCATATTTCCGTTCTCCCGTCCTTGTTGGCAACATCCTCGTTGTCCATTCTTGAAGACTGGCAGATCCGCTCATCGCCCGTTTTCATTAGCTGCGTTACGTATGTGTAACTCTACTGCCACAAACTCCACTGATATGTTTCTTTCGGTAGCCGTCGACATTCACACTGAAACCAACTGAACATCAAGCTTATACCGTTGACTCGCTTTCTAGTGATTTGTCATGTCTCTCAAATGGCAAAGGTACATTAGATCTAAGCGCCGAAAGGGGTTACAGCTGAGAACATCAAGCTTATACCGTTGACTCGCTTTCTAGTGATTTGTCATGTCTCTCAAATGGCAAAGGTACATTAGATCTAAGCGCCGAAAGGGTGTTACAGCTGAACGTTTATTATATGTTATTATTTACAGCACTTTGAGCGCTTTGTTGTTGTTGTTACCAGTGCAAGTAAGTAAGCTTAACACTGCTCAGGCCCAATCGGGTGGTCCATTGGACTGGAATCGAAATGCATAACAATAAATAAAATAATCGTTCAGCTGTAGTACCCTTTCGGTGCCTGAGTGCCATGCCACTGGAAGGTTGCATGAGGGCTGGGATACTGCCAGGTTGCCCATGCCGATAGGCAGAGGCGGGCTCGAACCACGAACCTTCTGGCCAGTAAATTCGCGCTTTAACCACTTGGGCATTCTCGAGACGCATGGTCAACGGTGAACACGAACATCGTATCCTGACCGAAACCATTGGAATCGCTTGGTCACATGGTGTTCCCGATGTGCCAGCCAACCTCCAACACAAACAAACTACATCGCCATTAACCATAGGTTTAGTGAATAAATTACTGATCACCGAATGTTCTGAAACACCTATGTGGATTTCCCTCACGCGCCTATCCGTTGTTACTTGTTGTGATTTTTGGGGCGCACAAGATTTGTCTACTTTGCCATTAAGGAGCTTTCTGGCCCCAATATGAAACGAGCTTATCAAAACCACCTGCTGAAGTCGCTTTTGGACAAAACAACCCCTGATGTTCAGTCTTGTTGGAGAGTATCATCTGCAACTCTGAAGGACGTTGAGCGCTATTCGGCACAACTAACTGCAACACTGGATTTTGATCAAAATTCTAAACTTCCTGGAACTTCGGACATGTGTTCCTACTGGTTGAGAGTACAATACAACTCAATGAATCATTTGATGTCAGGGAGAATCTGCGTGCATCGAGTAGACTGGTGGGTCTAAAAAGCTAAAGGTTTGTTGGTACGACGAAACTCTTGAAATTGGTGTAAGCTGTTGCAATGGATATACATGACAGACCCAAGAACGCCGCCTGTAGGCAAAATGAGCAACTTTAGAATGGCTCACTGACCTCAGGAAATAACACCTGGATCTATGTGCTGAACAACCATTTGGAAGACCACTTTTATTGCCCAATCACATTACTAACCCGTCCGTGGCCTTGGGCAGTGAACTACGAACCTCCGACTACTTCATAAATACGCGAAATGCTTTCTCACACGCTAGCACCATCGAACTGCTAGTCCTGACGAACGCACGCTCTGTTTATGGATAGTGATGAAGTCATTTATCATTGCTTGTCCTTATCTGGGTGAAATAGACGGTTCCTACCCAATGGATTAAGCTAATAGTGCCCATTTCTTTTTTGGAGGAGTGCTTATTAAGTAAGACGGTCACAGAGTAATTAACTTGACCCACCTTGTAAGTATAATTTCTGCATCACTTACGTCACGTCGTTTTACGGGATGATCCAAAAATGGAAATGTGTCTCATATTCCGTCAAATGTTGGAGCAACGCCACCCATATGGGCGTCTCGCAGCCGTGGTATTCCTTGTCTTCAGGGGTGTGTTTGATTCACAATTCTGAACATGCTTGTGCAACAAGGTTTGCTCTAGAAGTTCGTGAGTATCTTTATGCTCTTTGTATTCCTGTAGTTGTGAACGCGTGAGTGTTTGAAGGATTTTCCAAAAGCTTCCCCGCAGGTAATGTCATCCCATGCATCATCATCATCAGCGACAGTAAAATCAATGTTGGCACTGTAGTTTCACTGTACGACGACTTATACCTAAAACCCTAGATTGTAAAAAGGAAAAGGATGGATAGCAAAAGACCTGATGCTGGCCTTTCTCAAGCACTCTTATGTTCCTGCATTTCCAAATGCCCAATCAGATAATATGAAAAGGGGTTGTGACGACCAAAACCACTGGTATCGCTTAGCCGCCATATCCAGTAGCGTGTCCAGCCAAGTGTAATCGGAGTCTCGGGGACTTTCTCTTGGGGGACGAATTGGACCAAAAACGTCTAAGCCCTTTGTAATCTCCCACACACTATTACCAAGTCATGGGTTCTTCGCCTCGCAGTTTTCCGCATTTCGAAGAAAGCACAGAAGAAAATGCCAGTCTCAGCGGACTATATGCCATGCGCGGTGCATTGCCTAGCCACCACATTTGATGATGTTGAATGTTTTCTATGGCTGGGGTACCCACTTCACAACGAGATATCCGTCACGAACTCCAACGCCATCCGACTCCAGAAACGATTCTGAGACATATGTGATAAACATTTTAAAGAAACTTCAGGTCATTTGTCCTCGGAGCGCATGTCCCACAACCACACAACAATGCCTCTTCTGTAGCCCGTTCGCATAACCCTAAGAACCTGATGATGCCATAAGTAGTGCAAATCGGGAAACTAGGTTCGGGCTTTCGAGGTTCCTGCAGTAACTGCGTCGTACACTCTATCAGAGCTAATACAACCCGTGCGTACAAAGCTTTCATCGATCTCCAGTGCTTCTCCGCAAATTGCTAGGGGCACGTTAAAAGGTTTCACACTCTGAGACGTTACTCCACTTTGATTTGCAATAGATGTGCCAAAGATGATATGATGACGAGTTTGTTCTTTGTGTCTATCCTCAGTGATTCGGTCAGTGCTATCTACACGCTCCATGTCCACAAGATTCTCACCGGAAAAGATTTGAATACCGGGGTTTCGAAGACCTTATAGCGTTTGTCACATTATCTCATCGGTGACTAAAGGGAACGTACATGGTTAGAGTAGACGTGCTTAACGGACACTACTCTTCTAGCGAGGCCTTCAAAGTGATTCCCGTATACTTTCACACACCTGGAAGCGCGTGAATATAATGACCGAACTTCTGAGGCACCCCCAGTTCAAGACAGATTCAGTAAAGACCTGGATGGTCCATTTCACCGCCGCAACGGAGCAAGCAGGTTATGTCCAGTACACCCGTGTAGGGTCGGAATGTTCAAACTACACTGCTCCCACTTCTGGGAAGAAGAAATCGCAAAAATTATAGCGGAAAAGCCTTCATTCTACTTTCCTGTATGTGTTTCGCACACTGTGGAGAACCATTCTGCTGGACATACAGTCGTTACACACACCCCTATGAATTCCTGGCGAGATTCGAAGTTGTTCACATATCTCGGAGGTTGCATTATCTCTGTTGTTGGTCTAGCAGACAAAGTTAACGCGTCTATCCCAAAGGCCAGAATTGCTTCCGCCTTACTTTTGGCATCGAAAGAAATATGCCGTCGGGTTTCAAAGGAGGCGTGTATTATGGTACAACGCGGGTTGTATCGCTGTGCCACTACAACACCTGGCTACTGTCGATGGAGGACCTGAGACATTCTCAGACCTTAGACCACCGGCAGCTTAAAACTGTAGGTGGACACGACTGGAATAAGCTAATGCGCAGTGGGATTATCAGGAAACGGGACTTTTTTGGAACAGAAAGTACTTCACTCAGGGAATACATTTAGCACCGCAGGCTAAGATGATTCGGTCGTGTGCAACTAATACGGAGATGACTGTTGCTTTCCATGCCTAATTTGGATTGGTAGAAACCTATGGGGGGACAATGTATGACTTAGTGGAAGGAAATGAAGTATGCTCCGCAAAGTCCATGTGCTTTTGGTGCTGTTGCCCCTCCAGAATGGCGCCCTGGTGATCCTGTGCTTGGCTTGAGGTATCGGAAGATATGGCGGCTAATTACTTTACACCGCCGTCCTCTATTCAAACTGTGACTGTGATTGAGTGTAGGCTCCTCGGGTGTTTGCAGTAGACTATCCCTGATTCCTTTTTCCTGTTCTGTTCCTCTCTTTTGTCCATTTTAAGGATGTGCTTGTGTGGCCTTCATACACCGGTGTTCTTTGATGTTTGTGTCAATGACTCAATCTTAACTGGTACGGTTGGTCAAGCAACCAGCTCAGGTGAATACATTTCGCTTCATACTGTGTCTGTCAAGTGTGTGTGTGTCTTGCTAACCTAAAAAGAGAAGCGCGGATGAATGACACGGTGGAAATGCGTATCCTAATAAGCCTATCTGTTGACTCACTGAATCAGTAAACTGGACGAAAGAACCAGACATCGTGAACTCCCCGCAGAAGTACGTGACTCACTTTTATGCGTACACGGATAGTGAACCGTCCATGTGCAGTTTTTGGTGAACAACGTAGCACACTACCTTGAACGTTTCATTGTTTCCCTTAGGCCTTGACCAAGGTGGCTAATGGTCGAACACTGCAGGAACTAGTTGTCTGAATGCCCTCCGCTGGTTTCACTAAGAATAGTACTTACCTGAGAAGCCTCTGTCCACGAATTACTGTTTTTTTCTTGTTGATTCTTTCACGCAAAAGCTAATTGTAGGTGTAACCACGTGGGATTCGCTAAGCACATTTAGCTGGTTATGTTGGTAGAAATTGTCAAGTTTGTCTGGAATATCTGGTGGCCCATTATATTCGATTTCGTAATCTCGCGTACGTTGCTCAGTAATTCTCCAGAAATGCTCCATCAGCACTTTACTTCAGCGGCGCATTTCTGGTGATATGTTCCGATTTTATTTGTGTTTCCTGCTTAACTGACATGGCTGATATCTCTTATCGACGAGTTCTACTTTTATAGTACCAGTCAATATAAAAACCAAACTAGTGGTGTAGTCCCAGATGGCGCTCACCAGAATTATTTCGGGACTTGCGTAATCGCTGTACAATTGTATCTCGGCCATTTGTTTGATTTGGTAGGTAGTCAGGTAACTTTCGAAGCTCCATATGTGGGTTTCATCTTACAAGTGAATGTACAACATTTTTTGACGTGTTTTCCTTGTTGAGAATCATCATCAGTGCATCTGATGCACATTCGATCTGGCGCAAATTAGGTTGTCGGTGGCTGATTAATCGTGTGACCAAACTACGCTGAAACTGGGTGCAATCATTTATTTTCGGAGTATCAATAACCTATCCAAAATCAGGTCATCCGATAATTTACCTGGGCCTTTTGGCAAGTCGCCGCTCGTGGAGCAAGTCAACACCAGTTCTCTGCAACAGTGGGGAACATCCCAGAAAGCAGTTTCAAGTAGTAATGGAAGCCACATGTTTCGCAGGTTTAAGCCCTCGAATATTCATTTAGTCCATTTTCGGAGCAAATGAATGCCATCTCGTTCATTTTATGATAACCAAGTTCACCTCACTGATGTTTTCTGTATTACTGATGCACTTTCGTACCAGGATAGCCTAGCCGCAGAAGTTCCATAAAAAATCCCCTACGTGGTGATGCTATTCACTCGTCCGTGCTCTAAACTTGCACCCGTTCCATGAATGCCGCAATGCTTCAAATATTAGTGAGGTGGGAAACAGCCTTAGGTCGTATGCCAAATGGAGTTGTACGGTTTTAGGAAGGTTGAGGACCACTTTTCTAGACTAATTGTTTTTCAATCTGAGTTCCTGTGGGATTTTGAGTTTTTGGATTGAAACGTGCATGGAAAGTGACTAATCAGGATTTCTGCTGTTACCCTTACATCCTTAATGTTGCTTTGCTCCACAGGACTCCGAACTTTGTGTACATTTCTCACATCTGTTTCTTGTACAGGTCACGGCCGATCCAGGGCTGTCAACCGCATTTCTCATCGCTGCTGGTCAATCCAACCGGAAATTCATGTTTGGTCAACTCAGCTTTTTCAGGCCTTGTATGGCTTTGTCTAATATAACGAAATCAACCATCGACAGACCAGACCGAGGACCCCTTCTCTGTGGTTGTGTACCAATAACGACCCCTCCCTGTTTCTTACTTCAGTTCCTTCAGTCTCAGACTCAACTAATTGACCGATCCCCATTTGCATCTCTTGATCGGATCAGTCGGATTTAACCTTCGTTTATCGTTTCAACAACTGATTTGATACTATGGGGACGTGCTCAGTAATGACTAAACGACAGTTCTTTTTTCTGCTCTGTCGATTTTATTTAACATGCGCAACTTTATTTACTCTATCCTTCCATACCTACCCACCGTCAAGGCTGTGAAGTGTCTTCATGTTTATTCATCAGTGCAATTTCCCCAGTTCATATCTTCGCTTTCGTGCAGTTCCGGTTCTTTCATACTTTCAACCGACCATCATGTGCTGACTGGGTCTGTTTTATCGTTGTCAGCCTCCCGCGTCACCTCAAGACTATGTATATAGCACAGTATGTGTATATAGCACATACCTGGGTCTCCATGGATGATCAAGTGTTATAGTCCCCTAACACGTTAACGCAACCGTCCCGTACTTATCTAGTGTTTCGCTCATCCCTCGATAGTTAATTAGAAGAGAAGCCTATGTTTGACAAACCCCCCTCCTTATCCCCATACCACGAGTTGTATGTTATCCTCTAGTCCGTCGCGCCTATTTTTTATACTGTGGAAATACTGTTATTTCATTGTGCAATAGCACCTCATTTATCTTCTTCATTCACATTATCTATATTCCGTTTGCTTTCCTGCAACACCGAAGATGTAGAGCATCACGTAATGACCCTCCTTCGCTCTTTGACCCTATCCAATTATTTCCTGTATTATTTTTTATATAATTTCAGTCAGGCAGCCTCCGCATGGTGCTTAACCTAGAGCTAGCTTCATAGACACGCCGCGATCAATCGTTCTCTTTTACCGGGTTTGTCAATGGCATTTATACATATTTATACACCAAGTGGTCGGCTTCCTCCCTCAGTTTCATTGCCTGTTCCGTCTCAGCATGCCTCATGTGAATGTTACCTCAGCTTTCGGACTGTTGCCTCTCCTCTGTACCTCATCTGAGCTGTCTTATCTTGTAATGACCATACTGAGGTTTTCCTTAGGTCTACCCAAGCCCCCAACCTGTCCCTATTATTGACTTTCGTCCGTGTGATGTTCCTTTTTCGTAAATCGGATCTCGCATCTCCACCGATATCACTGTTATATTGATTCAGTTAGGGGTGGGGGCAGTCAGTTCTGCATTTCGGTTATTGTTACAAACTGGTCACGCTGCACAACTTTGGAGGGATTCGACTGTTCAGGCGTGATAATCCAGATATGTCCGGCGTATGTTGGTTTCATGTAAGGTATTTGAAGTTTCGATCCCGGCATGGTCAAGTTCCAACAAGAGCTCACCCCTTTCGATTTTTCTTGTGAACTAGCCAGTAAATGCGCCAGAACAGGATGAGGACCGCTCAGATTTTCAACCCACCAGAATACCGTACAACTAGTTGATCCGGTTTTCTCGACTATTTTATTACTCAGTTGAGAACTTAATAATAATAAATAATATAATCGTTCAGCTGTAGCACCATTTCGGTGCCTAGCTGCCATGCACAGGAAGCGAAGCATGAGGGCTGGGATACTGCCAGGTTGCCCAAGCCTAGACAGGGGAAGTCGAGAGTCAGGTCGGGTTCGAACCATGGACCTTCTGGTCAGTAAATTCGCGCTCTAACCACTTCGGCCATCTCGCCCCCCAGTTGAGAACTTACTACCTCACAGCTGACCACTTCCGTGTGAGCCAGTTCAACCTCAGTAGTCGACTCACCACTAGTTAAGTGTGGACCTCAGAATTTGCGTAAGATGCGCAATCGGGTGCTTATCCACACATGGATGGTAGCCACGAGGGTATTCACATCTTTTGGTTCATAGTACAACCCAAGCGACTAGACCGTTTGAGCACTCCCTTGCGAACGCACCATGGTGTGATAGAATACAGGCTGTATTCAGTTGCAGAAACTCGCTTGAAAGCAGGAGTGGTCATTGATGAGGCAGTCGTTAATGAAGCATTCTCAATGCAGCTTTTTTGATGTGACTGTTCTCCTAGGACTGAGTTTGGGCGAGACTGACAGGCTAAGGGTACCTCGGGTTGTGCATTCTACTAATTCCGACAGTTCAGCGCATGTTTTGAGCATTCCAAAATGTGTTTACAGTGTTCTACCGTGACTGGTGCGAGCGAATCAAGCAAGATATTCACGTGTCCTACTCAGTTCCCTTCTGTTCTGTTCCGGGGGTTGTCGTACGCTACGCTGAAGAATAAACCGCCTTTCGGATGTATTTTTTAGCATTTGCGATTTCACTTAATTAATTGTATTTCGTTAGGCAAATGAGGGGTTCCTGCTAATCTTGGAAGATTTGGATTTATCCCGAAAAATGCACATCGACCGTAAACTATTAGAGGGAAACGAGGATGAGGTGAATTTTCGTCAAAGGAGATTTGAGCCACTATCCATCTCTCTTCGAACTGCGGCTGTTCGTGTACGCCAACTCTTGCCCAGAGAATACTTCAGTCTACCCAGGTGGAATTACCGCGCCCCCTTCCCATCCTGTCAGCGATTCCATACGACGGCAGGGAACTGGCGAAATATGCAGCTAACACGTGGCAATCATATAATGCGTGCCTTGAACAAAGCACAGCTCACTTATAGGGACCCAGGCTGTCCGCTACAGTTCAGCAAAAGTTCGGAACACAGCTGGGGTTGGCTCAGGTTTTGTTCCACAATATTCAAAGCACTGGCTTTTCATAGTCTGCTTTCAGATTGTATTTCGTGAAGGTGCATTGGGTGGAGCATGTTTAACGTTGATTTGCGGCATGTGACGGATATGTGGCCAGCACACGCAGCTTTTGTCGGCTCATTTCAGGCACTTGAGCACAGGATGGAGCACTAGGGTTCCCACTTTCTGATATGCAAGTGAATACCGCTTGCTCGTATCGCCGTTGCATCTAGCTGGGGCATGAATGGAATAGTGCAATTAGGTCAGCAAGTGCATAGTCGAGCGATTGAACACTGCGCACATGATTCAAGTTTAGTGGTCTAAACGAACAGACTCCGGTTTGACAGGGCCTCAGAAGGACTTCAGTGAATTAATCAAATGAGGAAATCGGCCATGTGTGCTCGAATTCTTGTAGGACGGTGCAGCCCATTTCTATGTGCATCCCAAAGACGGATAGTTTGCGTATAGTTAGCGAATGGCCATTATAAATCCCACAGCTGCAATTTTCAGCCCCCCGGTTAGCAGGCATTCGCTGATTTATCATCATCGGTAGCATGACGTCAGTATTCAACACCGATGCTTCGCTGCCGCACAACCACATTTGCTGATTGAGAGCTTGTGGATGAGAAAAATTGATAAGCCATGTAGTGTAGCGCCGCTGCACATTTGTTTATTATGTTAAAGTGCTACTGATCTCTATTGTTCCGGAAACCGCGCCCTTTGAATTTGTAAATTGTCAAAAATTCATCATGGACACACTAATTCAAATTGTATCCATCCTTAGTTGGTTGGAGAGCCTTTTACTTCACAAGTAACATTGGAATTTGGTAAGCTCGGAAAATGTAAACGGAACAAACGTTTTTACCGATGTACAACCAGCGGTGTCTCATGCGCTGTACGTTTTAATCAAACACGCTCTGAATGCCCACTTGCAACGTCCACCTAATGAAAATGAATACAGCCGACCGACACACTATAATTATTGTTCTCTGTACGGATCATCATTACGAATCGCTGAAACTGGTCTGTCTTAGAGGTGGTCCTTAGACGGTGAGCAATTTTTGGCACGATCTGAGCAAAGATGTAATTGGTTAGTAATGTATCAAATACATCTTCCCTCCTTGTTCGGCACATCCGTCAACGACGACAGTCACTCTCAACATACGCGTTTTAATCATGATACTATGACATTGTATGTGCCATGAAAGAGAGTATGAAATGCCTCATTATCCAGAACGGTTCTTGCTTCTGAATGATGGTCAGTGTGCACCAGATAGGCCCACATGTTTTGTCTTCCAGTAACGGTGTGCAGCAGAGATGGTCGGATTTGTAATATGACCAGTTATCCAGTCTAAGCACACGGATGCATAGTGGGTGGATGCACATAACACGAGGGTTCAGACACCAACCTGAAAGGGCAACTGAACACAACACACGTAATTAGTTCTCTGGAGCTACAGATGTGTGGACTATGTGGGTGCGTCCATCATTATGGTGGCCCGAGAGCACCGAAACGTTTTACTGAGCAGGAACTGAGCCTAACAGATTGTCAGATTGTCTTCGCCTGGGGGCAGGTTTGCTGGAGTTTCCCATCTCATTCAGCGGAAATAAATCCTTAACAGGGTGTGGTCTTTGTACTGGGGAAACTATAGAGTGGGAACTGTATTGAACCTCTGATGGAATCCTCGTCCACCGAAGCAATAAGACTGCTGCTTCACCTCTGTAGGTGGCTACCAGTTAAAACGCGTCTACAGTATCTATAGGTTGTAGCGATATTGTGCAACATTGCAGCAAATCAAAGTTTATCTTTTTCGGTACTTGCGCACAAATGTGATGTCCGGTAGTAAGCAAACTACAACGAACCTCAGGGCAAACGATGTACTCAGGGGTGACAATCGGGTTCGGAAGGTTGGTAGATGAACCGTCGGTCTTCTACCATGCGCGTGTCTAACGTAAGAGCCCATACAATCACCCTCGATGGATCATGACCCATCCAAGGGAATTTCGTGGCACAGACGTCTCTGAAACCGCAAACTCCTCAAAGATAGTATCCCAAATATTCAACGAGAGGATGTTTATGAAAATATCATAAGAACTTAAATAGTTTTACCTCCTGATATTCGTGCGGTAAACGCCGCTGTCACTGATAACGCTCAATAAGTTACCCTGACATCACTTTGTAACCTGCCACACAAAACGGTCTCAAAATGTTTTCGTCGTGCACAGGGAATCGCGTGTCTTCTTTGTGGTACAATATATATGATAAACATTTCTGATCCGTAGTGACGCAGATCAAAGAACCTATCGGCGATCCTGTGGGTTTGGTATTTTCATACATTAGCATTTTGATATATAGGTGCAAAATTGTAACGAGTCTCTGGAGTTTCCATTCTGGTCGGATAGAAATTCCAACACACCTTACGGGTGCCACTGAAGCTCTCGAACGCATATTTTTTGTTCCGTAGAGAATGCGCTTCTGCCAACAGTACAAGCTAATTGCGAAGTTCAGGTAAATGGCCAAACTACCACATTTTATTACTTATATAATTTTGTCTCCTACAAGGAATAATACAGCACATACGTCACCAGATGGACTGTGGATAGCTCGCGGCTATGTTTGTTTCTCCTAACTACTGAGTGTAATTGAGATTGGGCAGCAACTCGGTATAACCTCTTAAATTATTGATATTTTTGTGTTCACTTTTAGATCTGTCACCAAATTTTCCCTTCCTCGGGATGTCCACTTACGCTGGTCATCCTGACCTCTGTGAATTGAGATATCTTTCCTTTCGACCACCCTCTGTCTTCATTTTCACGAGATTATCATAGGAGATATTCCTAAAGGTATCTTACGCTGTTGCGTAGAACTTGATCTTTTGTGCTGTGTAAACTTCCAACTAATGGTGCTAGCTAGTTTTCACCACTATCTGGACAAACCATTTGGCCTAAATTCCAAACACGGGGTTGAGAAAACCCTAGGCCAAGATTCCGTTAGAAAATTCGTTACCTTTTTAGACCGTCCAACATTCAGTAAGCTCACCCGGGCGAACTTTGGTACGAACTCCTCCCGTCATTCAAAGGTAAACTTGTGAGGATACCGCTCTGCCCCTTGGCTTCTGTTTTTATTTTGTGAAATCAAAGGATAAATGCGTATCTAATTCGAATAAATGGGTTTCATGATGAACAACGGAGTAGGAACAATGGAGTTGTGGGATAAATGATCTATTTCAATCTTGTCTGTCGCTAGGAATGCGGTGCTAGTTGCACCTTTTGTATAGCATTAAATGGTAGCGTAATGAATTGGAAAAACCATTTTAGCCTCAGATTAAACTTCAGCTATCGCTGGATTAACAACAAGGCTATAAACTAACTAACTGATTCTGCTCCGAGGAACCGCAGTCTGTTCGGTCGAAGCTAAAATGAAGCGGATGAT